CCACAGACCTGGAGAAAATATTTGCAAATCATATATCCAACAAGTTCTTGTATCTGGAATACATAAAGGAAACTCAGAATTGAATAATGAGAATGGAAACCTAATCAAAACATGGGGGAAAGATTTAAACAAGCACTTCACCAGGAAGTTATGTGGATGGTAAATATTACATGAAAAGATGATCAATATTTTTCATTGCTGGGGAAATGATATAAAAATCACAAAGAAATAACACGTTCACAAAAATGGCTAAAACTTAGAAAAGGAAAGGAAGATGAAAGAAACTGAATATGTCAAGGGTTGGTAAAGATAGAGAGGAAAATGAATTCTCATATATTACCTGAGGGAATGTAAAATGGTACAGCTATCTGAAAAAGAATTTGGTAATTTCTTAGTAAGTGAATTATACATCTGCCCCATGACTTAGTCATTCCACACCTATGTATTTACCAAAAAGAAATGAAAGCATTTGCCCACATGCAGACTTGCATAGAAATGATCAAAAGCACCTTTATTTATAATAGCTAGTATCTAGAAATAATCAAAATGTTTATTTTGGGGTGACTGGATTAAGCAGATTGTTACATATCTATAAAAGGGATAACCAATGATACAGCATGAATGAATCTCAAAATGAGTATCCTGGATGAAAGAAGCCAGGAAGAAAAGGTTGCATCTCGTATGGCTTCATTTATAAAATACTCTAGAAAATACAAATGAAGCTATAGGGACAAGTACTAGATCAGGGCTGCCCGGCTATCATGGATGTGAAGGGAGAGAAGGGTAGAGGGAGGAATGGATACTAAATGGAACATGATAAAACTTTTGAGGGTGAAGAATGTCTGCATTACGTTAATTCTGGTCATTGTTTCACAAGTGTGTGACCTGCTGAACTCATCAAACTGTACACTTCAAATAATGCATTTCAAAGCACATCAATTATATCTCAGTAATTTTAAATAATAAAAAATTAAAACTCTTCACAAAGAATAAAATCTCTACAACTTTATGGCTACCACTAGCAATCGACAGGGCTACTCAAAAGAATTTTTAGCAAAACACAAATAAAATCCTCCGAAGAAAACTGTTATCAGAATGACATCTGCCTTGGCTTCTTATACTTAACGCATTTACTTACATACAACATGTATAACTTTTCACATAAACTAGAACTATTACTCTACATGTTGTTCTGCAATATTTCTTCTTCACTCAAAAATGTTTGGAAAGCCACAATCTGTTGCACTCTTTCTAACAGATGCACAGTACTAAATTACATGTATGCACTTCATTTTACGATATTCCTGAATTCAACTGAGTTCTACGGATTCAATGCGAATTTAAAGACATCATTGTAGATATATCTTTGAGCACTGATTTATTTCTTTAAAAAATTTTTATAAATTGTCAGATTATCAACAAAGAATTAACTTTTTCATTCAACAAACAACTGGTTAGGTACTTCTCTATGCCCAGAACTAACATACAGAAAATAATAATATGTAGTCAGTGTTAAAAAATACATTGAATACATTTTAGGAAAAGAGACATCCAGGTGAATTGATGGTCACAACCCAGAAGGTAAATACTCTGATAGAACCAACATAAGAGGACTATGAAAAATCAGATAGGAGTACTCAGCTCTGGGGGAGCAGCATAAATTCTTCTTGTGTTTTTCTCTCCAAATTACCATACACTACAGTAGAGTTTCCACCTACTCTTCTTTCTCTTTCCCCCAAGGCATGCCTAGAATAGGGCTCTTGAATAGTGATGCCTCAGTTAGAGTGGTTGGTCAATGGACTGAATGTTTGGCACAGTATCCTATATGCTACTCATCTACTGGCTGTGCCCAACCCCATCTAGGGAGGGCAATAAAGACCTGTGTGCAGTCACGCTGAGTAGAGCGTTGTGGACTCCATAAAACCTACTGCCTACATGTGTCAGGAGCCATGAAGTCCCTATTGCTCACTCTTACAAGCTTCATGCTCCTCGCCCAGTTGGTCTCAGGTAAACAGAATCTTGGGGTGGCAAAATGCTAGCCTAGAACAGGGTCCTGCCCATGGAATTCCTATTACCAAAATCCATGGGAGTTGGGGGTAGGGTTCTTGCTGGAAGGGGGTGCTGAGGTTTGCACTACCTCTTCAGGACATCTCTAATATAAAAGACCTCAAAGCTCTCACAACCGACCAGTTTCTACGGTTGGAACTGAGCGAGAATAATGAGAATCCAAACGCAGAGATGGTCCTGACATTCCAAACTCCCCTCTATTCTGTCACTCAGGGCCAGCTCAGTACAGTCCTGCCTCGCCTCACTTTGTATGGCATCAGGTATTATCTTCCAAAGTAACAATTCTACAATATTACTTCTTCCAATTTCCCTATTCTTGGCCTTGCAGAGAAGGTCTCCCACTTTTTTATTCTTCGATGTGATTAACAGGACAGGAAAAGCTGTTTCTAAATCTCTATAGGACTGTAAGGTGGAAAAGGGAAGAATATTCTCAGTGAACATGGGGAAAAGATTCAAGACTATTGGAAATCCTATGTCAGATCCCAGCTTTATGTGTGTCAGCATTCCTTCCTTTCAATTAATTCTATGGTTTATACTTACAAGATTAAGACACAAACACTGAAAACATTTTAGAAATAAAGAATTGGCCACCATTCCAATATTTCTCATATTTTAAAAATTGTTGCCAACTGATATATGAGTTTATCATCTGCCCTTTTTATTTTTTTTTAACTTAATGTTTCTTTATTTTTGAGACAGAGAGAAACAGAGCATGTGTGGGGGAGGAGCAGAGAGAGGGAGACACAGAATCTAAAGCAGGTTCCAGGGGCGCCTGGGTGGCTTAGTCAGTTAAGCGTCTGACTTTCACTTAGGTCATGATCTCGTGGTTCGTGGGTTCGAGCCCCGCGTCGGGCTCTGTGCTGACTGCCAGCTCTGAGCCTGGAGCCTGTTTCAGTCTGTGACTCCCTCTCTCTCTGACCCTCCCCTGCTCACGCTGTCTCTCTCTCTCTCCTAGAAATAAATAAAACATTAAAAATAAATAAATAAATAAATAAATAAATAAATAAAGCAGGTTCCAGACTCTGAGCTGTCAGCACAGGCAGGCTTGAACCCACGAACAGTGAAATCACGACCTGAGCCAAAATCGGCCACTTAACAAACTGAGCCACCCAGGCGCCCGTTTTGTTTTGTTTTGTTTTTTAATTTTCTTGAGAGAGAGAGGGACTGAGCATGAGTGGGGGCGGGGCAAAGAGAGAAGGAGACACAGAATCCAAAGCAGGCTCCACGCTCTGAGCTGTCTGCCCAGAGCCCGATTGGGGCTCAAACTCATGAACTGCGAGACTATGACCTGAGCCAAAGCTGGACACTTAACCAACTGAGCCACCCAGTTGCCCCAAGATACCACTTTTTCTAAGATGCAGTCTTAATGTTATCTGTGGGACAAAAGAATGTGAGTTTTCTAATCAAGGAATTGGTGAAAAAGACAGTGCAGATGAGATACAGAATGTTCTCTCCATTGCACAGGCAGTGCATTTTGTTAATACAAATAAGCTCTTCATCTTCAAAACTCAAAGATCGATTTATCAGCCCCACTTTGTTTATATTTCTCTCTCCAGAGAGAGAGTCCGTGATCTACTTCAATAGCTCTCTAGCCAATAAGTAGGATTCCTATGTTCTTCTTTTAGTCCTTAAATTCCTTGGACACCGCAATCCTACATTGATGCAATTATTGTTGTGTACATTTCTGAATTTAGATAGACAAGCGTTACTGGTGGCATTACACAAAAACATATGTTGATACTACTATAAATTCATGGAGATCACTCTCAATTAGTTTCCTACACTGTCCAGATGCTATAGTATTGAATGCTTACAGCCAGAGCCTGGGTGAGAGGGTATGAGTGAGGGATGAGCTTAGAGATGGTTTAGAGACGGTATAATCCCCAAAAGCTTATTCTGTAGATATCAGTGTCCTAGTTGGGGTCTAAAATGAGTTTCCATGATTCAAAATGATTTACTGATGGCTTCTCGTCCTTTTGGCTAAGATCAAGTGCAAAATGATTTACTGATTGATCTTAGTTATGAAAATGACTAAAAGCAATTCAAAGGAAAGTCTTATCTTTCAAAAGAGTTATAATGCCAGAGAAATCAAAGGCTGGGTAACAGAATAATTCATATAACTTCCTAAAGGCACACTAGTAGGAAATGTGTTGTTAAAGTAGCACATCCCCCAGAAGAATTCCCCCCACCGCAACCTCCTCCAAGATAGAGCCACTGATATCAATGGACGAGGGGAATCTTCCCAGAGAGGAGAACAGAAAAAATACAAATCAAAGAAGTCTCTACGTTGGAAGGAAAGAAACCCTTGCTATTGTCCATCAGGACAAGGAATGTGCTGTGTTATCTCTGTCTTTCTTCCCCGTTTTTGTGGTTTCTAAATGAAATTTTATTTTAGTCAACCTATTATTCCCCTATCATTGTATACTCCTTGACTGTGAGTAATTAAATCTATGTAGGATGTGGGGATGAAAGTGGGCTGCCATTTGGACAGACTAAAGTGACAGACACAACACTCAGAGATGCTAGACTTAATTGAATGCAATAAATGGAATACGCCTCATTGTTTACATTATTTTATTCATACTTAGATGTGAGCACATGTCTACCTTGGTCTAACAGGGCAGACAGCCAAAGTACAGAAAGCACAGATTATTCTCACCAGTGGTCTACAGCCTACAGAAAGCACCAGATGGGATGGAGTAGAACATGATGTGTCTCTGAATTCCATGTGGGGGTAAAGTGGGTAACCTCACATTTCCTGTGCCTGCCCACATGGGACAAAGTCCACAGTTCAGAAGGTTGGGAACACACTTCATATCATACCATCTGTTCTAGTGTGGTGCATAAGAATCCAAGTCTCTGAGGAAGGCGACATGGTGTGCAACTCACTGGACAAAGAGGTTTGGCTGACACCTCTTGTGGGAAGCCTGGCCATGAAGCTGCTCCTGATCATTGCAATTCTGCTGTTCCAGAAGTCCACAGGTAATCCCGAGCTTTCCAGGGGCTCAACTCAAATCAACAATGGGATGGAGTATTTCTAAGAACCAAGGGAATTTCATAACTCATGGTAGAAGATAGGCCCTCCTCAGGATGCCTGAAGTCTACCCAACATCACCAGAAATTCCCTCTTCCTGATGCCTTCTACCATGGTACTGTTCTTTAAAAAATAAATAAATAAATAAATAAAAGTATCAACAGAGCTGAAGAGAGGACACGATTTCCTCTGGGAAGGTGTCATTATAGAAAGGAATGAGCCCAATACCTAGGGATGTCCTTATTTATTAAGATACAGTTTTTACTCTGACACCTGGCCATATTTTCTTCCACTCTAATATATATTTTAGTCTACAGTGTGTGGATAGTGGAAGAAGCACAAACTCTGGAGTCAGGTGTGAGAAATATGCTTTCAATATCTCCTGGCTTGTCAACTTTGGATAAGTGGTAAAGACTCTCTGAGCCTCAGTTTCCTCATCTGTGGAGATAATGACACCTGGATCATGAGGGTTTATTAAATAATATTTGTAAAAAACAAACAAACAAAAAAAAACATCCAGCATAAGGCTTGGCCCATACTAAGAACTTAAAAATTCATTCTTTCCTCTTTCAAAAGCAAATCTCTTATATTTGGCTCTTATTATAGGATTAGTAGTGGTCTGTTCTGAGCCCCTCAAACTCCTAAGAATCAAGAGAATTCCAGAATCCAGGGTTGGAGGCAACATCTTTGTTTTCAGTCATCATCTTCTGGGGTCTATCTCAGGGCATTATAAAAGCCCAGAAGCCAAAATCTGAACATCCTAACTTTGTAGATCACTACAAGTATTTAGGATCACTAAAGAAAAGAATATATATCAAGGTGAGCAAAGGTCTGGGACTGAACATTGGAGAAACTCTCGCTCTAGAGGTGGAAAAAGAATGAGGACTCAAAGAGGGATAAAACAAGTCCAAGATAATTATGATGACATAGAACTCAAAGGAAGACATGTGTTGGCACAAATGTGCAATGCTGAGAACAGGGGAGGAATATTACTGAGGGGAAAAAAAAATGCCTGGCTGAACAACAAGACAGTCTTTCTTGTTCATGGTAGTGAGTATGAACCCAAGAACACAGTCTAACTCAGATATAAATACACAGTAACAAATGCTACTCTCTGGGCTTTAGAGGTGGGGCAGTGGTGAACAAGTAGTGCCCTGCAGCACCCAAATGGTGGCATGTGCTGAGGTCCCCAGATGGAGTAATAGTTCTATACCCCAAAATCAAAGATGCAGTTCCTTTATTTTCCCAACAAGAGCTGATGCTTTTGGTGGAGTCCATCGGATGTTGGATGGGAGCCCAAAACCCAGGAGGAAATAAATATGAGTGATCAGTTAGACATAAACACTGAGGACTACCTTCTTGGAGCACCCTCCCTAGGATATTATGAGTAGATAATCTGTGGGTTTTCCATACACCTAATCCCTCCAAACATCCTCTGTCTCCCCCATGACTGAAGTTGCCTTTTAGTCTCATTGATCCTGGCCTATTGTTCTTTATACGCACAGTAACTGAACAACTTAAGAGATGCTGGAGTGAATATATACGAGGATATTGCAGGAAAATATGCAAAATAAGTGAAATACGTGAAGTGCTATGTGAGAATGGGAGATATTGTTGCCTCAATATTGTGGAATTGGAAGCACGTAAAAAAATTACAAAGCCACCTCGTCCAAAGCCAAGGACATATGCAATGACTTTCCCTCAAGATTATGATATAAATATAGAAAATTATTCAAGACCCAAGGCAAACTCTACATGAATCAAGTACAATTTTCTGTTCCTTTACTTCTCAACCTATTCTAATAAAGTAAGGGGAAGAGGTCCATATCTTCTTCCTTCTGATTCCCTGACCCCCCAGAACGACCTTACGGTAGATTCGAATAAAGCTCATTGCCAGTTTTCTGACTTGTTTGTTCTTTAAGCAGAGATCGAACACTCAATACACCGAGTGATGAACTGGTAAGGACAACGCAGAACCTCTCCCGTGGCAAGGGGGTATAACCAGCACATAAAAAACTCTAACAAGAAACTCAAGACAGTTGTCTTTGAATTCAGGGGAGAGAAAGGTGAAGCCAAGTATTCAGGGAAAATCGCAAGTGAATTTAAGATTAAAGTGTTGCCTTATAAAATGTGTATGATTTCAACCAGTGGTTGGTGAGGACTGTTAGTGTTTGTGTCAGTGTCAGTGTCAGTGAGTGTTAGTGAGAAGGCAGTTTGCATGAACAGAACAAAATCAACAAATGGAAGGAACAGGACATTTCAGAAGACTATACATGCACTTTGGTTGATGAATAGGTTTCCAAAGGTAAACTATGGGGTAATCTAATTTATTTAGTTCCTATGCAAAAGCAGTGAGCTGTGAAGATCAAGATGAATAAAATTCCACTATTATGGAGGTCACTATATAAAGTAGAGGCAGAAATAAATATATAACTCCAAGACAGAAGTTTTTAGTTTTTCCTTTGTTGTTATTTTATGTGTTACCACTAGTAATGGATCCTTTTGGTGACTGGAGTCCTTTGAAGTTTGGAGGAAACGTAAAGGGCTTAGGAATTGGTTTCAATTGCAGTATTGCATGAGACTTTATTGCTGTCTTGATATACAAGATGACATAATGATAATTCATGTACATAGTCCACCTAATTCTTAAAAGATATACCTTCTGGATATGATTAACATGAAAAATTTCCTTTCCCACTACTTTTCACATTCATTTTCCAGTTTTGTTTCTTATGTCATTTCACCAGTGTAACATCCACCGCACAAATTTGTGGCATCTCTTCTCTTAATTATCCTCTTCTTTGCTGTTCTAGGGCTGGGGCAGGGAATACACACAATAAGCCCAGAGCATCTTGCAATGCCAGAAAGCCAGGAAGTGTTTCAAAAATCAGAAGGCTGAGGCATGTTAATGGGACACAGGAGTCAGGTTGAAAGAATTTTGAATGACCAAAGTTGGGACGATTTGAGTGATTAAATAACATAGCATTGGATTATAACACAATGTAGAAATAAAATCCAGGAGTCCATACTGCTCTGAATAAATAATAAATACATGAGTGAGAAAAGTCAGATTTTCTGTGCAGAAGAATTCCAAGTATTTTATGTAGACACTCCATCCTCAAGGAGGGGAACTTCGCCTCTCCCTTCAATGTGGGAGATGTGCTTAGTGACTTGCCTCCTGGGAGCAGAGTATGGAAAGGAGCAAAAAAAAGTAATTTTACAGTGGATAAGCCTGATAAAATCATGCTTCAGATTCTATGGGGACATCTGTTGATAGTAGGAGCGTGTGAAATGACATCATGAGAATGGCATATCACCTGTGTGGCCATCTCCCCTAAAATCCATAACCTAGCCTAACAATCTGGACATCATCAGAGAAACCCAAACTGAGTGGAATTCTGCAAAATATCTGACCAATACTCCTCAAACATGTCAATTTTGTCAAAAAAAGAAATTTCTGAGAAATTGTCACAGACTGGAGGACGATGAGGAGCCATGACAACTAAAGGTAATGTGATATCCCAGATGGGCTCCTGGAACAGGAAGAGGACATTAAGGAAAAACTATTGAAATTCAAATAAGTGTAGAGCTTAGTTAATAGTCATGTACTTACGCATAGTAGTGCATCATGTATAAGATGTTAGCAGTAAGGAGAAACTGGCTAAGAATATACAGAAGCTCTCTGTACTATCTTTGTAATTTTTCTATAAATCTAAAACTGTTCTTTAAAAAAAAAGTCTATTCAGATTTTAAAAGCTAAACAAAATCAATTTGGTCTAATTCTCTTTTTTCCTCAACTGAGATTCAACTTCTTATAGGAATTTTTTAAGTTATAGGTTAGGTTTGTTTAAAAGCTAAAAGGACAATTGTAATGTTTTTAGTCAACTCATATTTTTGTTTTTATTATTTCTCCCATTTTGTTACAATTTTTAAATGTATCAGCCTAAAATAATTTGTAATATCTTCCTTTCCTTGTTAATGCCTATAGGATATGTAGTGATGTCTCCTTTTTCATTTCTGACATTGTCTATTGTTTTTTTCTTGGTAAGTCTCACTATTTGCTTATGAATTTGATTAGTCTTTACAAAAACCAAATTTTATTTGTTAATTTTTTATCGAGTTTCCATTTCTTCAATATCTTTATTAATGTTTTTATTTCCACTTGTTTTTCAAACAACTTTCAGTACCATAAAATTCAGTTATAGGTGTATAATAGAATGTCTTATTTCTTTCTCTTTTTTTAATGTTTTATTTATTTCTGAGAGAGAGAGACAGCATGAGCAGAGGAGGGCCAGAGAGAGAGGGAGGCACAGAATCCAGAGCAGGCTCCAGGCTCTGAGCTAGCTGTCAGCACAGAGCCGGATGCGGGGCTCAAACCCACGAACCATGAGATCATGACCTGAGCCGAAGTCAGACACTTAACCGACTGAGCCACCCAGGAGCCCCCAGAATGTCTTATTTCTACTTTTTTGTTTTTTTTAAATTTTTTTTTTTAAATGTTTTTATTTATTTCTAGGAGAGAGAGAGACAGCGTGAGCAGGGGAGGGTCAGAGAGAGAGGGAGTCACAGACTGAAACAGGCTCCAGGCTCTGAGCTGGCAGTCAGCACAGAGCCCGACGCGGGGCCCGAACCCACGAACCGCGAGATCATGACCTAAGCGAAAGTCGGACGCTTAACCGACTAAGCCACCCAGGCGCCCCTCTACTTTTTTGTTTTAATATGCTTTTCTTCTTCTAACTTTTTTAGGTGATGTTTATCTCTCTTGTTTTTAGCCATTCTTTGTTTCAAATATGAGCATTATACTGTTTCAGATTCTGTGTCTCCCTCTCTTTCTGACCCTCCTCTGGTCATGCTGTCTCTCTCTCTCTCTCTCTCTTAGAAATAAATAAAACATTTTAAAAATTTCAAATATGGGCATTATAAAGCTACACATTTCCTTCTATACACAGCTTTAGCAGTGTCCCACAAATTTTTGGCATATAGTATATTCATTCTTACATTATGAACCTCACTTTTCTCAGACGAGTACATAAATAGAACCTTGGTTATATGAAGACAATGAGGACAAATGGTGACCATGTAATTTTCTCAATTATTATTACATGTATACTAATATTAACTTGATAATATATAAACCAAAGTCAAACAACACAACTTGAAAATAAACAAAAAAAAAAAAATCATACACAGAAATGTTTACACACTTGTCGCTCATACAGTTTGTTCTCAATATGATCCTCTGTCCTGCCATAAGATTCTGTATGGCTTAAAACTGTCATTTGTTTTTCTTCTTGCTCTTGTTTGGGATATAATTTAGTCTCCACTTCATTTTGCCTTCTTTCTTCTTCTTTTTCCTTTTCTTTCTCCCTCTTTTTCCTTTTCTTTCTCCTCTGCCTCAACATCACTTTCCTTCTCCCTTTCCTCCTCCTTCTTTCCCTCTGCCTCCTTTTTCTCTTACTTCTTCCTCTTCTGCTTCTGCTTCTGCTTCTCCTTCCAAAGTAATCTTCCTTGAAAAGTATTATCAGGTCCCTGTCTTTGTTCTTCTGTCCAAGGATCTCAATAAACTTCTTAGATTCAATAGTATCAAACACGGCATATATTGATCCCTTAAATACTTGGTGCAATGTTCTTTTCATCTGAATATTTAGTATTTGACCTTTATCTCTGATCATTCTTTTATGTCACCAAGAGTTGCATCAGTTGGGAAGCTTTTAATACAAACACATTTTTTATATCATTTTTATGCTCATCAATCACTTCAAGATGAAGTTCACTTGGAGATCTTCTGAATTTAGCCTTAGCTTCACTTATTTCCATGAGTCCCTGCCTTTGATTTGCTCAATGCTTCTATATGGTTAGATGGTTAGATGAATTTTATCTTTATCTTTAAAAGTAACCAACCATTATTCAGTTTGATCTGTGCCTTTAAGATTTTATCACATGGAAAAGTGAAGTCACCCAAATCATACTCAATTTGAGGACAGATTTTGGCCTACAGAGCAGCCTTTTTTTTTTTTTTCCATTTTCACCATTTTCACCTATTGTGACTATCTTTAAGGTCCCGGTCCACAGACCTGTGATCACTAACAGTGACAGCAATGTATCCACTTCCCAGCACTACCAGCTGCCCTAATGCCCATAAAGATGGGGGCCATTCTCTGTATGTTTTTTAATTGGGTTGTCTCTTTGTTATTGAGATGTAACTGCTCTTTATATATTCTAGACAAAAGTCCCTTATCAGATACATGATTTGCAAATTTTCTCCCATTCCATGGATTACCTTTACATTTTCACCATGGTGTCCTTTGAAGCCCCAATGTTTCCAACTTGGGTAATGCCCAGTACTCACTGTACACTTTTTCGCTTTTTAAAATAAAGATAGGCTTTGTGCAAACTTTGGGGGATGTTCTGTGTCTATGCAAGTCATTAGTTGCATATTACTTAACATATGCTTTGAGGGGGCACCTGGGTGGCTCAGTCAATTAAGTATCTGACTTGATTTAGCTCAGGTCATGATCTCACGGTTCATGGGCTTGAGCCGCCTTGCACTGACAGCATTCAAAGGCTACTTGGAATTCTTTCTCCTCTCTGCCCCTCCCCCCACTCACATGTGCACTTTCTCTCTCTCTCTCTCTCTCTCTCTCTCTCATAATAAAGAAATAAGCTTTAAAAAATATATATGTTTTTTCTGGGAGGGAGCTTTCCCAGGATGACAATGCTTATGCCACTATTTGTAACTAAAGAATACAGATACATTACTAAATGTATATTTTACTACTTCAAACTGGTTAGCTATACTTTAACTATACATTGTAATTCATTTTAATTTGTAGAAGCTATAGATAATTGCCTTCCAACTCTTACCAGTTTGAAAGATAGCAAAAAAAAAAAAAGTGCTAAAAGACAGCCATATGATCATTTCTATGCTTCCATTTTGACATAAGATAGTGAGCGATTTCAGATGTATGTAACTCTTACGTGACCTGATTCCTGGACCCAGGAAATATTATTTAACGGCATCTGGGCTTTTCATATTTATCTGACATGTACCATTTGGGAGAGGTTATTTAATAATATCTGAATTTTCCACTAGTTTGATTGTGTTTTCTCTTTTTTTCTTGTTTATGTTTATTTATTTTGAAAGAGAGAGAGAGAATGAGTGGGGGAAGGGCAGAGAGAGGGGGAAAGAGAGAATCCCAAGCAGGCTCTGTGCTGTCAGTGCAGAGCCTAACCTGGGGCTCAATCCCACCACCATGAGATCATGACCTGAGCCAAAATCAAGAGTCAAACACTTAACCAACTGAGCCACCCAGGTGCCCTGAGCATGTTTTCTAATACTTACTGGCTATTTTCAGAAAGTTTGAAAAGTATCAAACTGGGATAATGAATATCTACATATTCCCCAGGGCCACTGAGTAATCAAAGCTAAATTAGAATTTATCTACAAACACAAAAATCATCATAAAGTTGCTTTGAACATGGCTTCTCTTAAGTACTTAGTTATCTCTTAAACTAGTTGTTGAAACTATTTCAGCTGCCACTATCATTATCCTAGTCTTTACTAATTAAATATTACTAATGACAAACCTTCTATTTGTAACTCTGTGCCTGAAAACTTGCCCTATGCACAATTTTGTTAAATTCTTGTTAACGTTTTATTTATTTCTGAGAGAGAGACAGCATGAGCAGGGGAGGGTCAGAAAGAGAGGGAGATAACAGAATCTGAAGCAGGCTCTAGGCTCTGAGCTAGCTGTTAGCACAGAGCCCGACACAGGGCTCAAACCCACAATCCATGAGGTCATGACCTGAGCCGAAGTCGGTCACTCAACTGACTGAGCCACTCAGGTGCCCCCACAATTTTCATGTCTTACATATGACGCCACAGGAACATATGCCCACTCAAACCCACCTATTATAAGAAATGTTAGTAATTACATGAGGCCTAAAGGACTAGAACTAGTAACTAGAAATCTCTCTCCTCTCTCTGTCTCTCTCCTTCCCTCCCACCTTCTCTCCCTCACTCTTTCTCTGTTTCTTTCCCATCTTTTCCACTCATCAGTGCACCAGGACCCAACCTGGATATCCAATGGAGTTCAGTCTCTACATATACATCTGTCATCCACCCTGGTCCAAATACTTGTAGCCAAAATAATAAAGTTTTCTGCCTCTTCTCTCTTGACAGGGCATATTGAAATAGAGTCCCTGAGAAAGGCTACGAGCAAATTGTCTAAGAAAATGTGAGTGTGGAGAGGAAATGATTACTATCTCTGACACTTTTCATGAGCATTGTCCAAGACCCCCCAAAGAGATGGGTGGTCCCAAATGCTGAGACTTTTTAGAAAAATATACCTGGAACATTCTGGAGATTTTACAATGTTCTAAGACTTTGGAGGATGTTCTAAGAAAAAAAAAAAAAACCTGGTTGATCTGATACTAAGCCAAAATGGATTCTCATATCTAATTTATCAATGGACTCATATAGAATAAAAGGACACACAGATTAAAGACAATGGACAAGATCCATCTTCATATCATGGTGACAAAATGGATCCTCCCTAAAAATGCCTCTGGTGATCCACAGGAATGGAATACTGAAAAGAGGAGCTTATGAAGTACTGCAATAAAGATTGGGCTTCCTTATCTGGGCCTTTTGAAAAAAAACCCTGAGGGTTAGACTGAAATAGTCATACATTAGTTTCTGTGGTGAAACTATCAACAAAATAATTTCTAAATTTCTACAACTTACTCTGGTCCTGGTTTCCTATACGTTTCTCCAGAATTCTCAAAAGCCACAACTACTAAAAGTAAGGTCCTTGTAGATTCTTAAAATGTTAACGTATCCATCTAAATATTTGCCTCTCTGTTGTCCCAGTGAAACAAGATGGTGAGCTGCACATGGGGGAATAGGGCCCATTGGTTTCTTTATCTCAGATGAGCAAACGTTACCTCCACAGAAGTGATTTCTGGTCAATACTTTAACCAAGCACCATCAATGGATGGCACCACAAAATATTCTATTCTGCTCATCTGGAGGGCATCACGACTTACTCAAAGTTTGCCTTCCTCATGAGGAGCTTCTTAAAGATGTCTCTTTCATGTATAAGGCTTTAAATTTCATACCCTTCTTTATTTATTTTCAGTTTTTATTGGGGTTGAATTGACGGACAAGTTGTAAGATATTTACAGTGTGCATCATGGTGCTCTGATACATGTCTATGTCCTGAAAGAACTCTCTCCCCATCTATTTAATTAACACACCCCTTCCCTCTCATATTTACAGAGTGTTTTCTGGCGTCTTGGTTTTAGTTTTGTGTTTTGTTGTATGTGTGAGAGAGAGAGAAAGAGAGAGAACATTAAAGTCCTACTGTCCTAGCACATTTCAATTATACGATATAGGGTTCTCAACTATGGTCACCGAATTTCACATTCAATCCTCAGACCTCATTCACCTTGTAACTGAAAGCTTGTAAATTTCACTATTAACAAACTATTGAATGTGTAATGTTTTTATAAAGACGCTAAGGGCAATGGGGCCTTAAAATTGTCAACTGAATGTTCAAATCGCTACCAAAAAAGGAGATGGAGCATACACATTAAATGAGCTTCAAATGATGTACAGGTGTCCCCCACTTTTTGAAAGTTCCCAGTTCCACCACTTCATTTTTACAAAACGCCTGCATTAGTACCTGTTTTCACTAATGGCAAGAAATCTGAAGAAGACGCTGTCTCATGCATTAAAAAGGCAAAGAGCAAAATTAGCGCTTAGTGTGGGTTTTGCAGCAAACCATTACAGAGCTGTAGGCACCCTGAGCAGCGGGAGTGGGCCGCCCACCAAACTCCTTTCCTGGGACCTACACTCAGCATCTCAGTGTGAAACCATCATAGCTTTGAACTGTGTCTGGGAGCATCAGTGCTTCACCCTGATTTATTCTGTGCATCCATTAGCAAGAAGTGCCCAAAGTATCAGAAAAGCCTAAGAGTGGTTATTTTGGGGGTCCAGACACTCAAAAACCTTTCCATATAAGTTCAGGGTAATTGCTTCTTCACTTTACACCATTTTGGCCTATGAAAGATCTCATAGGATCACTCTACTTTTGGATAGTGGGGGTAACCTGTATTGGCATTATCACTAGCTGTCATTACTGCCCGTTAGACATGGCCAATAAATGTTATGAAAATATTCCAATATCATGCCTCCTTCTAATGAATTCTTGGTTAGCAAAACTCTCTGTATTCATCCTCCCACACACACAAAATTGGGACATTCAGATCTGCTTAGACTCAAGAAACTCATTTAAAAGAAGAGTAGGGCATGTGGGTGGCTCAGTCGGTCAAGTGTCCAATTCCTGATTTCGGCTCAGGTCATGATCTCAGGGTTGTGAGATGGAGCCCCGTGGTGGGCTGCCCACTGGGCATGAAGCCTGCTTAAGATCCTGTCTCCCTCTGCCCCTTTCCCTCTCTCTCTCTCTCAAAAACAAAAATAAATAAATAAAGAGGAGTAATACCTGAAATAGTATGAAATTGGATAGAAAATGGAGGGGCTAACTTCCACCTCTACCAACATGCTCTTTTCATCTCTGTATCACCCATCTTACTAGTATGATGAATGCCTGGAACATGATAACTATTCATTTATGTTTAAAGTGAATGAATGCATAAATAAATCCAGAGAAAAGGAAAAAACTTTATTATGTAGAGAATCGAGTTCACTGAAGAGGTAGATAAGTCTCTTGCCCCAGGCTGTCGGAAGAGGGGGCACTTTTGATTTAGGACCAGTGGAGACCAGTGAAGAAAGTATTTGATTTACATCTGGATTGTAACAAGTGTGGTGGTGGGTAAGATAGCATAGTCCAGCTTCCCATCAGGCTGTATCAAAGAGGAAGGCGACTTTGGAGCTTTCTCGTGTTTTTTGTTTTCACCTTCATTAACACAACATAATTTCCCATTTAGACACGCCACTTCATATATTTCCCCCATTTTGCATTTCTTCCGGCAGTAGCCTGTTATATTACTAAAGCATTTTCTGGGCCGTGCTGTATCTGTGCACAGGAAACAACATTGAACGCAGATTAGTTTCTGAGGCAGAGTAGAAGGGAAGTATGGTTCCCATAAGCTTTGGCCTCCTGTGGTTCCAAAGTGAACTATGCTGCTAAGAGAAAACTAAGAGCCTCCTCCTAGAAAATCATCCCAAATTAAGGACATCAAAACCCCAGGCTCCTAGCCAACATCCAATCATCTCTGAGAACATTAGAACTTATATGACAAAAAAGAGAGATCAACGCATGGTTATCAACTGGAGTTATGTCCCAGCCCTGGACTCTGGCAGATCTGTCTCCCATGCTCCAAAGTCAGTACTCTGTCAGCTTGACTCCAGTCCAGTGTCCCCAAAAAGTACCAACTTGCCATCGTGGCATGACTTAAAGCCAAGTTAACTTTTAAAAGAGTATCACAGACAGGACTTTTTAAGTTAAGAGAGACATTGGATTTCACACTCATTGACATGTGCAGCAGAAATCTCCCTTTGCCAAGACCTCATGGGTCTCAGCAATAAATGCTGCAGAGAACTTCCCTTATTCAGCCTCTATGTCTTCACAGTCGTCGTCATTCTCCCCCCCCTTCCTCCTCCTCCTCCTCCTCCTCTTCTTCTTCTTCTTCTTCTTCTTCTTCTTCTTCTTCTTCTTCTTCTTCTTCTCTCTCACTCACTCTCTCTCTCTCTTCTCTCTCTCTCTCTCCTTTTTTTTAATCTCAAATAAATGTGTTACCCAGGGAATCAAATTCAATTCCACGTGTACCCATCTCCCTAGCCATCCAAACTTTCACCTATCAAACTATTGTATTGAGGTCTTAAATCACCTGTTTCTAATTCTTTATTTGCCCCTGTACCCATATTTGGACAAGCTCATGGAACAAGAGAAAGAAGAGACATTTCCTCACATGAAATTCAGTCATTATGAAACTGGGCCATTATACTCAACTGACAGATGAGATAACTGAAATTCAAAGGGAATAATTAGCTCAGTTCATACAACTAATCAGTGATCAAGATGTATTTTAATCTCACATCTACAGGATTCCAAAGCTTGTACTGTTCTCATTCCTGTTGGAGCACAGGCTGAAAATGAGATTGAATGGAAAAAGAGATGGGGAGGTCCTTGTGTAAAAACGATGTCCAATTACAAAGATAATTCTAGATGATGGGTTCATGCCTACCTTCGGAGAGGACTTCCCAGAGCACAGCCCTGATGTCTTCTTCCCACCCTGAAGGCTTTCTTCTAAGACACAGACTCAAAGAGAGGGGGTACTTTCGATGACATTGGCAAGATATCAACAATCTGAAGGCCCTGGCCCCACTCGTGCAGAGAGTAATAGCCCCATAGGATTTCACGGTACATTGGACAAGTTACCTGTTAGTAGTCCCTCAAATAGTAGCATAATGAGAACCAGAAACAGCTTCATGTTTACAGACTTCCCAAGAGAAAGAGCTGGAACAATTTCTTTACCCAGTGATCTGTGTCACACACAGTCTTTCAAGAACGAAACAAGAGTTTCTGGTGCTATCAGCATTCTGAGCTCTCATTTTAACCCACATGGACAGGTATGAAATCCAAGCCCACGCCGCCTTCATTCCCATATATGGAGTTCCCAGTTACAGAATGTTCCATCATATCACACCCACTCTTCTTCACTCGGGATGTGAGCTCCCAGAGAGCAGGAACATTCTCCAACCCGGGTCATCAGCCCGCCTGGTTAGTCATATGTCCTTATTTGTGTGACTCGGTCCTAATGTATCCCTCTTGTTCCAATGTCTCATCTAGCTAGTGTCACCTTTTACTCACAAAAGCAACCCATTTGGAAGATTAGGTAAATCATTAACAAATCAAGGCATACATACACACTCCAATAATCATTTTTTATCGTATGAAAAATATTTTTATGTATGAAACTTCCAGAAAGTCATCTAGGAGTAAGACTGCATTAAGATTTGCCAAGATAAATTGATAATATTTCAGAGTCTTCTATAAAGTCTTCCCCAGTACAGCTCAATTCTACAAATGAAGTCTTTCAAAAGAGCAAATTAAAAAAAAAAAAAAATCAGATCTCATTAGCACAGTGTTCAACTTATTATGAACTAGTCCCTGCTCATCTCTCCTAGGCATTTTATTTTTTTTTTAATGTTTCTTTATTTTTGAGAGAGAGAGAGAGAGACAGAATGTGAGTGGGCAAGGAGCAGAGAGAGAGAGGGACACACAGAATCTGAAGCAGGCTCCGGGGTCTGAGCTCTCAGCACAGAGCCTGATGCGGGGCCTGAACCCACGAACCGTGAGATCATGACCTGAGCTGAGGTCAGACACTTAACTGACTCAGCCACCCAGACGCCCCTCCTAGGCATTTTAGAGAACCACGTATGTTTCTGCCAAATTAGTGTGGATGTCTCAGCCCAACCTGTTACTTCCATACTGTTTCTTTGCACATTTAAATCTCTCTTCACAAATTTATATCATGCTCTCCCATCCTGTCCATCAAACTGGCCCCGTTGAGCTCCTAATTCTCCTTCCAAACCAAGTTCAATCATTTCCACATCTGTGAAGGTTTCCCCTGGACCCAACTAAATAGTGCTGCAAACTCCCTTCTCTTGTCAACACTGTATCTTGTCCATATTTTTGTTGGGGGTCACAATATGTCATGTTCCAATTATCTGTTCATCTTGTAGTATTCTATGAACCCCTCAAAGGCAGGCCACTGGCCTTGTTCAACTTGGAGTTCTTAATGCACAGCACAAAACTCATGCTATATCCTCAGTGTGTAATTATGGAATGAATGATTGCAAAGAACCAAACAAATCATTGCTATATAAGATACCCCAAGACAGTAATAAAGTTAATTAAGACATTTCCTAAAGAATTCTGTTTACCATGTTTTTCAATTTCTGGACACTGGAACTTTGAATTTACAGTAATGAGTAATTACAGTAATTACAGTAATTTTGAATTACAGACCACCCAAACATCTTTCTGTGACCACAAAGAATCTGGGAATATGTGAAGGCTGAATAAATATTTGTTGGTGATAATTAAACTTGTATCACAACAGAGGGTTCAGGCTAGAGCTAGGGTTAGGAATGAGTACTGTGTATAGCATATTATGTTTGTCAGTAACCAGAGTGAATTAAATTTGTCAAGGAGGAGGAAGTGTCAGATGTCACTGATAATTCAAGATGAGGAGCGAGAGCTAACCAGTGGCCCCACTAGATCTGCACCAGACCCCCCATGTATCTCACTGATTTCAGCTCCACAACCTCTTACGTGTGCCTATGAGATGACAACTGCATTTTCCATACGTTCTTACTTTAAGCATTTGCACTTACGAAGTACGAAACTAATACTTCTCTCTTTCCAGTTGGAAAGCTACAATTTAGGGAAGTGGTAATGGGCCCAATGCCACACAGCTAATAGGGAATAAACCAGGATCAACCTGGGTCTCCATGAACCTAGAAATAAAGCACTTAGCCACTATGCTAACTTACCTCTCCAGTTGCCTCCTTTGGGTCAGTCTTTGGGAGACTAAGACACAATGTCAAATACAAGACGTTGCTTTGTTCACAAAATTTATTGGCCATACACTTGGCTGGACACCCTCCTCCCACCCACCTCCTCATATCCTACTCACTACTCAGAGAGCAACCTATATGGAAAGAACTCACAGTTCCGATTTTCACAGATGACACTGTTGTATCCTGGAAGGCATATCACTTGCCTGCCTTAATAGACTCCTAAGGCTTTGTTTGTCAACTCTTTGTCACCTGTGTCTACACTTTTAATATCAGAGAGACCTTCTGCAATCCCTCTGGGGCACAAAAAGCACACAGTCTCATTTTCAAAGCCCTTTGTGGCTAGTAAGAGATTTCCCCTTGAGTAGACTGGGATGAGTAATTAAATGTTGCATTTTAGTTGTATGGTCATTAAGGACAAAAACCAGCCATCAACATTGGTTACTGCACCTCCCACTGTGACCCAGAATCATACAAATTGCTTTAATCCCTTCCTGTAAATGAACTTTAAATGTGTTGTATTTCTTAGAAATATTCTCTGAATTCTACCTAAGATCTTATCTTCCCAAACTGTTGACTAGGCTAAATCCAGGCAAGAAACAGGATTATTGATTCCCTCTTACAAAGATAGGAGGAATCAAGCAAGATTCTTTTGCTGTTTTGTTCAGAGACTTGAGGAGGTTGAATTAACATTTCAAGTTAGAAAAATCAGACACACAGAGAAACAAAAAGATGAGAACAGACCACCCGTACTCTTACCTCTGTTAACACACCGATGATTAGCCTTCTAGATATTTCATTCCAAGTCATTTTTTTTGGCAACTGTGTAAGAAGTAAGATGAAACAAAGTGGCCCTTTTTGCTTGTCAGACACTCAGTTTAAAGTAAAGTCTACTAGGGATGCCTGGGTGGCTTAGCTGGTTGAGCATCAGACTTCAGCTTAGGCCATGATCTTGCGGTTAATGGGTTCAAGCCCCGCATCGAGCTCTGTGCTAACAGCTAGCTCAGAGCCTGGAGCCCGCTTCAGATTCTGTGTCTCCCTCTCTCTCTGACCCTCCCCTGCTCACACTGTCTGTCTGTCTGTCTGTCTGTCTCTCTCTCTCTCAGAAATAAATAAAACATTTTTTTAAAGTTTAAAAATAAATTAATTAATTAAATAAAATAAAATAAAGCCTACTAGTCAACAGTCCCTGAGCACATGCATACTTATATGCATACAAAGTCTACATTCATCTCTTTGATTCAAGAAATGGGCCTATTGGCAAAATAGACATGACCCAATACAGGGGAACCACATTCAGCTGCCTTGATCATCTACCATTATGCCTAAATATGTCATCAGATAGTTTCAGGAAAATAAACAAGATAAGAGAAAAACTTAAATGAACAATAAGGATAAATAGCTTCAAAGGAAATAAAGCTAATAATGAGGACAGAAGAGAATTATTAACAATGATAAGAACGACAGATTTGACTATATAAAATGCATAACATCTTTATAACAAAATGCATGCAGAAGAGGGTTCAAGACAGTATAAGCTTAAAAGATAATCAAAGTAGGGACAACTGGGTGGCTCAGTCTCTTAAGCTTACTCTTGATTTTGGGTCAGGTCATGATCTCACAGTCGTGGGATTGAGCCTCTGTGTCAGGCTCCATGCTCATCATGGAGTCTGCTTAGGATTCTCTCTCCCTCTCTGCCTACCACTCCCCCATTCTCTCACACTCACTTTCTTGCTCTCAAAATAAATAAACTTTAAAAAAAATAAAAGACAATCAGAGTAGAACAAAATTTACAAATGCATTATATACTATAAAAGTATTAATATCCATAATATATAAAGAGTGTTTACAAGTCAATAACAAAATGACAAATGACCTTGTAGAAAACAGGCAAGCAATATTATAGAAACAAAGCATGTATGCACCTCTTGCAGAAGGTTGATATAAATTTAGAAATATAATATTCATTTTAAGAGAATCTGCTTTTAATCCATAAATTGTCTCACAAAACAGATTTATCAGGTTAAGATTGAAGGACCCAATTAGGGTAGCAATTTACTGTATATTACTATTCTTTCTCATTCCACTGCACTCCTGAGACCCAAATATACTAGGAACATGTCATACTAGGAACCTTTTTTGTGTGTGTTTGGACAACAATTGTGAAACACTACACAAAAAGCATACAAATTTCTCGCATGATAATACTGGTTCACAAATGATTTTGCTTAAATACTAAAGATATAAGTGCTGGGGCACCTGGGGGACTCAGTTGGTTGAGCATCTGACTTTGGCTCAAGTCATGATCTTGCGGTTTGAGTTGGAGCCCCATATCAGGCTCTGTGCTCAGAGCCAGGAGCCTGTTTCGGATTCTGTGTCTCCCTCTCTCTGCCCCTCCCCTGCTCTTGCTTTCTTTCTCTCTCAAAAATAAATGTAAAAAAAATGTTTTAAAGATATAAATACTTTAAGTAACTTTAAATATGCCGTTTAACTATTGCTCTCCTTCCCCCCTCCCAACTATTAAAAGGTTAAAGTATGTGAAATAAACAATATCATGATTTTGTCTCCTTGCTGCAGTGTGTTTCAGATCGTATTATAAAATCAACAACGAACTGAAGTTTTATTTGTTTTTGTTATTTTTTGACAGTTAAATAATACCACGAAATGTGGACAGAGATACATCAGCAGGGGCTTTGATGCAGCATCCCTAGCATGCCAAAGTGAGAATTTTCTCCAGGTGAGATGAATGCATGTGAGTGTAGGGCTACCCATGTCTGCCCAATTCTTCGTCTTTTGTTGATAAGAACTATCAGGTCAGAGGAACATAAAAGAAAAAGAACATGTGTTAGTAAAGAGAAAGAAAAGGTTAACTGATAATTAGTGAATCTGGTTTCAGCAGATTGGCCTT